GCAATCTCCTCTTGGAACGCCATGAAGTTCAGGTAGGTGATATTCACCATGTCGGTGCCACTCACAACCGTCAGCATCCTGCTCTCCAACTTCCCCGACAGCGTGCTGTTATCCAGCAGCTCGCGCAGCTTGGCTTCCTTTACAATGAAACAAAAACACAAATAAAAAAAACATATGTTATAACAAAGAAATAAACTATACGGATCAAAATGAAAAACAAAAGTCACCAAATGAATGAATTTCTATAACAAAATCCCCTTCAATGACACATCGACAGCCACGGAGTGGTAATGATAATTTTCTTAGGAGAAAGAGTATTTAAAATTTTTATATTTAAAAATGTTATCCCTTACAGGCATGGATGAGGAACACTTAATTAATAAGCTTTCACAATGATCTCGTTTACATAAAAACATGATTTAAAGTGCTTTAGATTCTCTAATTCAGGGACCTAATACAGTGTTGCATATGTCCCACTTGATCAATGCCCTTTCCTCTCATGTGATTATTGCAACAACTGGTCACAAGTCACATGATCATATGCTCGATATCCTATTGGCTAATGCTTTTGTATTTTTTCATTTCATATCTGCTCCAATTAAAAGCCTCATATAAAGCATGTTGATAAAAGAAACCAAGTTCTGAACACTTTATGTTAGCCTCTAATCCGAGCTGCACACACATTGAACCTTGGTGGAACAGATCAGCCAGAGCGGCATCTAAAAACTAGCAGGCCAAACAAAGCTTCAGCGAAATGGCAAATGACATAAAACAGGCCACAGAGGAAGACGAGCGATGCTTTTTTTGAGGAAGTGGGAGACGGCACTGCTCTGTGTCATGGCATTTTGCTGTGATGTTGTTTCAAAACAAAAACAGTCTCTGAATGAACTCAGAGGAAACAAGACTGGTTAACATTCGGGAGTTCGCACCTTATCTGATGGCTGATTTGGTTGATTAATTAGAGGACAGAGGTAGAGAGTCCGTGTGAAGCTACAGCACCAGCGATTCTCAGTTTGTGTAAAGGGTGCACATGGCAGGCTATACAAGCAGGAAACGAGGTGGGTTAAGTATTAAATGGAGAACTTACATGTAGACATGTAAGCACAAATGTCCAATAAGATGTCAGCACAGGATTTATTGTGTTATTTATTATTTATTAATAACCCCATGACAGCCCTCCAAATCCCGAGAGCTTGAGGGTTTTCCAGCCTTGCTTTTTAGCTTGTTTTAAGCCCGAAAAACATCCTCCTGTCTCAACATATTTCCAGCTTAACTGCAAAACCCCCATACATACAATAACTTGTAATCAACATCACAGGAAAAACTGTTTTGCTAAAAAAAACACCAGAGGACTCACTTAACCCAGGAGACCCGAGGAGAATGCTTTTCTTGCCCTGAAAGGGTTTTATTTTTAAAGGCTTACATAAAAACTGCAAATTCATAAGTCAACAGAAATTGTCCCCACGTTGAGAAAAAGCAATTGTCGGACTTAATACAACCCTAATTCTCTCATCATCCGACAAAATCAGGCTGCTGCTGCAGGAAGTCTGATCTCTCCTACAACAAAACACTGGGTGCTGGCAATACTCCAGCTTCCACAGGAAAAACTCTGGAGAATTTGCATTCAGCCGAGCTAATTGTCAGAGGGAAATTAAACCAAACTAATTTTAGCAAATATATATTTAAGAAGTTCATCTTTGGTGCGAATCACAAAAAAAAAAGCCCAAAAAAAGAGAACCCAAGTACAATGCCTCTGAGGAAAAAGAGGAATAACAATGATCTCCTTCTCTTCTTTGCAAACCCAGTATGCAAGTGGCATGCAGAATTCTTGCTCCGGCTTAATTAACACAACAGAAAAGCCCTGTAAAGGATTTTGCAGTGAAAGCAAATGAGCTTCCACTAATTTGACCAATCAAACAAAGAGCATTGTGTCCTGTGTCATGCTGATAAATGTCCTCTACACATCCCTCACATCCCCCAATCAAATTGTGGAGGCTTAGTGGCGCCTGCGATTATCACCCTGAGAACTTCTAAGGCAATACATGTTCACCCTGTCCCTTCTGACAGCCTGTGTACTCCCCCCTTTACTAGTTTATGTGGCTAAGGAGGTACTTCTTAAAAATAAGATGTTGCTTAAATTAAAGAAAAAATATATATGTGGAGAAAACAGGTTTTCAGTGTTGTGTATCATTTAGATGGAGTCATGTGTGGACTTGACCACCAATCGATGGAACACACACACATGCACATCCTGAGTTCAATGAGAATCCATCACTGTCCACTTATGTATTCTGAATGACACCCGCGTCATCATTCAAAGCATAAAAAGCAAGTTGCAATTTGCTAAAACACACAAAGCTCCCTCTGAGAAACGCTCTGGCCGACAGCCAGACATGAAAGGCTTCTGAGAACAGACGGGATGACAGTAAGATGCATATTTCATTTATTACTACAACGTCAATGCAATTTGATATTGTTTTGATGCTACTGGTAGCCATTAGCTGAACGTAGGGCTCATCTCCCACTATGCAGTCATATGGGCGGGAGCTGCAGGCACTTACATCAGCAGTTATGTTGGGAAAAGACTGACTGACTGAAAGAAACAAGCTGACAGGTGGGCCCTGCTGGACGGGAGCAGGAGCAGGGGGAGGGAGCAGGAGCAGGGGCGGAGGAGATGAGGGCAAAATAAAGAAAAGTAGAAATAAAGCAAGGAACAGAGAGCAACGGAAGGAGAGGAGCGGGAAGGGGGTAAGCCATGTGAGTGAAAACCAATTTGTGCTGGTGCATTGTGGGAGCTATTGGAGGCATGCCTGTGGTCTCAGTTACCACAAGGAGTGGAGATTCAGAGAAAGGGTAGGGATGGGATTTGGATGATGGTGTGGTTGAGTTTGGCCTTTCTGAAAACAGCCATGGTCCACTGTCTTCTGTTGCTATAGTGCACGCGTGTGAGAGTGTTGTGTATGATGCTTGTGAGCACGTGCTTAGTCAAGCTTTCATGGTGCATGTTGGCAGCTGCTGCCTGTCAGTATAAGAACTCTTCTCAAACACTTAGCATTCGGGTGGAGATGCAGCCCGAGGAAATACGCAGACTTTCTCCTTCTGCCTTAGTTTGTCACGAGGCCCCCACCTGCCCCCACCTGTCACCAGCCATGCGCTCAGACTGTGTCACACTCTGTTGGGCACAGGGAAGAGATTCAGATTGGCAAAGAGAAGTCAGCCACACCTCAGGTCATTAAACCTGCAGCACGGCACCTGTCTAAACCCACTCTCCTGCGCACACAGCTCGGACACACACCATCGCAAACGCACACACACCACACGTCCACCTCAGCACAGGCATGAAACTGCACTCGTGCAGGCTCGGCTCGACGCTCACACAGAGAAATACACACCATCACACAGAGTGTGTGTATAAATAAACACAGAGAGAGACATTAGATCAAAGGAAATGTCAGTATGAATGATTGATGATGAGCCATCTACCTACACACCACTCAGCAGGATCTGCAAAATCTAGTGAACCCGGTTAAGGAAAGGGCTTAAATTTAAGTTTATTATTAATGCAGACTGGGCTAAAAACTGGATGATAATGAACCAAAACTAAACTTAACAACTGACGAAACAATTCTGCACCAGCCTTAACTCCCTTTCAGTTAGGCCCCTGGCAGTACAGCCACTGTGGCCTGCTCACCATCATGGGCCTGACAGGCTACACTCCCCAAGAGGAGCTGCAACCAGGCACGGGATGCCCGATGCTGATGTTTTGACGCTGTGTTGAGCTTACACAGATGTTTTGAAAGCCTGCTTTGTGGTTCAAAATGCCCACGTCACTTGATCACATGACGTGGCTATTTTTGGAGCTTTTGAGCCCAGTTTTGACAAGCGGCTCGCCTGTTGTTTCTAGCCTTGATTGACAGTGTGTAGAAAAAAACCTAGTGACACCGAAAACTCCCAGAAAGCTTAAAAGTCATCATCGTCATTATTATTATTATCGTTAGCAGCAGCAATCACAGCAAAGGGCAGTTTGTGGGACCCTATTGACAGCTGAGTTAGTGAAACCCATAGTACCCGCAGGGCAACAGATAATCCCACCGTAGCGGTCAAAACATACATCAGTGATGTGTAACATGAACCATTAGTCTAGTGCCAAGTTGTAAACCTGCACCTTTATTTAAGGTTTCATGTAGACATGTATGTGATGATTTTTGACTTTTTCCAATTTGCAAAAGAAGAAGCTAAAACTAAACTAAATAAATTGATATTTTTGAATAAAAATCTTTACATAGCACTTGATTTTCTCTTATTCATCTTTATTTTTCATAAGCATAATTAGCTACATTCATTCACACGTCATTCCACTGTAGATAAAACACAAAGATTAATGGGGCACTGTGCTTACGTATATATCCACAACACTTATGTGGTTATGAAAATAAGCTCATTAGCCTCTTCTCTGTAGATTGTATAAATTGTGCATTGAATTTGATAACACGCTGTTTGTTACAGTCAAAGTTTTTCTTGTTTTGTTGTATGGAGATTTCTCCAAAATGTCTTAATTATGGTTATTTTTAATAACTGGTTAGAATCGCACAAAATCTGTGTTGCTTAAAAAACTAGCATTATCACCATGTGATATACCAAAAATGGCCAGAAGGTGTCACTGTGGAGACGGGTGTCAGATTGTTTCAAAAGCTCGATACAAATTTGACGCATCTGCTCTAAACGTTTTAGTGTTTCACAAAGCCTCGGTTGGCCCATCGCTACAGTGGTCTCCTTACTATCATGGCCTCACGATGCTACTCAAGAGGAGCTGCATGCCTATATAATCAGTAGCTCCGCCCACTGCAGGAAATAACAATTAACCAGCAATTGAGTACCAAATCAACTCAATCATAAGAATATCTAGTTATATGAAGTAAATGAAGCTCTTCTGAGCCTGTTTAAAAACACATTCTCCAAACATTAGGCAAATCTCCCCCTCCTTCATACCACACTTGGTACTTTCCCCCAAAAGCTTGACCGTAAAAGGAGTCCAAAAGGGTCCTGACTGTTTTGGCAGTTCCTGAGTCCAAACCAGAGGAAGGCCAAGTGCATTTTGGAGTAGAGGTCAGAAACCATCAAATTCATCACATATAAG